TGTTGTTCTATTTTAAACTTGTGAAGTGGTAGTTTCTGATCGCATATCTGCGTGGCCTGGTTGTATACGTCTGCTCACTCGTGTTCATTTGAGTGTAACTGATTTCTTATACATAGGTATAACTATTAGATGGGTTGCATCGAGGTTAAGTTTATATATATATATATAGTATAAATAAATAAAACCGGGTGAAATTCTATACCATTGATCCCAGTGTCGCTACGAGTGCCCTTGTCTTTCTATACTGTTATTGTATCCTTCTTTCCTGTTATCTGCGTTACCGGTTACGTATTTTAGATGTATTTCTTTTCTGTTGCATGTGTTATCTCTATAAAAGTAGTTCATATATACTTCTTTCTGTTGTATGTGTTATCTTTTTAAAAGTAGTTCATTTATACTTTTTTTCTGTTGTATGTGTGATCTTTTTAAAGGTGGTTTATATATACTTCTTTTCTGTTATATGTGTTATCTTTTTAACAATAGTTTATATGTACTTCTATTTTGTTGTCTGCGTTACCATTTAAGTATTTTTGATATACTTCTTTTCTGCTGTATGTGTTATCTTTTTAAAAGTAGTTTATATATACTTCGGGTTACTAAGCATTTCGAGGTGTTCCCTCACCACTTGCATGCTTTTTGTTTGTATGTATAGTACCGTGTAGCTTAGATATACTTTACACTTCATCCATAACAGCATTCACAATCTACCAGTACGCGTATGTATACATACCTATATACGACAGGTTGCACAAGTATAGGGTATATACATCATATCGTATATAGCCGAGCCATATGAACAAGCATCTGATATACACCTACTACCAACATTCACATAAAACCACGCGCAACCCCAGATCCACCAATGCATGCTTCTTTTGAGCACTCACGCACATACCAGTACACCCTCAGCCAACGTTACTGGTCATAAATAGCATATACGGCATGTTACAACAACACCAACAGCAACTAGCAGGAACGTACTACCCAACGCACCCTTGCTTCACAACACTCGAAGCCATGGGTGGGCGTGTGTGTGTCGTATAGCCCAGTGTACACCCGTGTGTGGTTGTTCGCCTTGTTGCTACCTACCTTATACCTACCTTCACTGAACCTTCCTTATCTTATCTTCCTACATACCACCCCAACAACACCGACAGCAACCAGCCGAAACGTGCTTACCAATGCACCCCTGTTTCACAACACCCGAAGCCATGGGAGGGGGTGGGTGTGTCGTATTGCCCAGTGTGTAGCCATGCTATCCGTTGTGGTAGCACTGGTGTTGGTGTGGGCTCGAGTGCAGCTGTATATGGGCATGGCTAGCATGAACTACAGACCAGAGTGTGTGGCAACGATCGCCAATGAGAGCGCTACTGTAGCGGTGCAGGTGTGTACACGTGAATAGGGTTATATGTGTACGTTGGTGTATATACATACATTGATGAATAGTGTACAATGTACATATACATATATACATATATATATATTATAATATATATATATATATATGTATATACATATATATATATATATCTAAATGTAAGCGTTTCGTTCCAAACCCTTATTATACTATCGTCCGTACGTAGTCCCTCAGGTGTGGGTGGTTTGTATCACATCCTTCGTCGTCGTCTACCATCAGTACGTGCCAATACTGGTTACCTTATACCCTTTCACCTTGCTAGTTCTCACTCCACCTCCATACACTCGCGATGTGCTACATACGCAGGAGAACCTGATGACGGCCGAGGTCGTTACCATGGTAACCGCAAACCCCTCAGTCGAGTATCAGTCCTGGATGAGCGATCACTACTTTCAGATCCAGAACAGAACGCTCGCTGACCTTCTACTGCCCGGTACACATGACAGCGGTAGGTGATGGAAGCACTTCCTTTGGACTAAGTGGTGTGGTATGGTGTGTTATGCCACTACACACATTACTACCCACACAACTACTTACAACCTCACTTGGGCCATACACTGTGCTGTGTTGTGTTGTATTGTACTGTGTTGTGTTGTGTTGTATTGTGCTGTGTTGTGTTATTCTGTGCTATAGTGTGTGCTATAGCTGAGTGTTACTGCCCTGCTGTGGTAGTGTATGGGCTGTTGGGGCTCGTCCACTGGCCAGTGTATGCATGCAGAGTTAATGTGTGTTTTAGGGTTTCAGGGTTTTAAAGTAATGTTAGGGTTTTATTCTTGCGTACGTATGTATGCATAGGTACGTGCTTGATCTGTTCCAGGAACATGTGCGCGTACAGGAGTGTAGTAAGAGAGTTACGAGGATACTACCTAGTGTATCCATGGTAGGAGAGTGTATTTACATGTATAGGGGAGTGTATTGGTAGTAGGAGAGTGTATTTGTCACTAGTTAGTGTATGGATAGTAGGAGAGTGTAGTAAGAGAGTTACGAGGATACTGCTTAGTGTATCGGTGGTAGGAGAGTGTATTTATATGTAAAGGGGAGTGTATTGGTAGTAGGAGAGTGTATTTGTCACTAGTTAGTGTATGGGTAGTAGGAGAGTGTAATAAGAGAGTTACGAAGATACTACTTAGTGTATCGGTGGTAGGAGAGTGTATTTATATGTATAGGGCGGTTGTTGTGGGCAAATGCTAACGTGGCTGTGGATCAGTGAACGGCTTCTGTACGGCGCATTGACGTCATACGTTTACCTGCACCAATTATATAGTACCGGTAGGATATCTATACCAGATAACCAGTGAACACATGGGGGGGTGAAGCACTTAATCCTACCAAACCACTATATACACAAGTCTATACAAGTAACCAGCAACGTCTATAGCATGGATCAGTCAAATAAAGGCAAAGGAGAGCGGGGGGTAGGTATACGCGGAGTCACACTATCGATGCCTTATGAACAGTACAACGCAACTCTCGAATGCTGTGTGCCTGTCGAAAACGTATACCATACGACGCATATGCCACTATAGTTTATTCCATTGAACTACCCTGTATACACTTAGAGCATATACGCATATGCAACTATAATCCATACCAATCTAACACAACATGTACACTCAGCACATATCCCTCACGCGCATATGCTGCCTCACATGCAATCGCACACACTCGTCCGCTACCACTCACTGCGTGTGTTATGTTATGTGTTGTTTTGTGTTGTGTTGGGTGTTGGGTGAACGTCTCAGCTGGGTACAGGTTGCTGGGTGGCACGCTCTACAACATCGATCCGCTGATCAACATCCTCGTCAGGGCAGCTACGGCCCTGCACCTGCCGCTGGAGAAAATGGTACTGTTTGACCCGTTTTTCGGGACATGTGTGTACAGATGGTACTGTTTTGACCCGTTTGTCGGGACATGTATGTACAGATGGGACTGTTTTGACTCGTTTGTCGGGACATGTGTGTACAGGCTCCTGTGTATACTATGTGCTATCAGCGTATGGTCTGTGCAGATGTGATGTGCACTTGGGACTACCTTGTTAGTTCCCTCTCCCCACGCCTCTCTCTCTCTCTCTCGTCATATAATCAATTGTACTACTCTGTGACTTGACAGTCGGGCCACGGGTGATGTGGGGGTGGGTGTGTACGCTCTTGTAGCCATAGCTCTTAGCTCTACCCACTGCACGTACACTCTTGTAGCCATAGCTCTTAACTCTACCCACTGCACACACTAACCGTCTGTGGGCTATTGCCTTACCACAGATTGTGAAGTGGTCTCAGACGCAGAGTGTCAATATCTATCAGCAGCTGATAGGGGGGGTGCGCTATTTGGATCTGCGCACTGTGTGGGATGGTACGGAATTGGATGTGCATGTGTGCATGGGAACAGGCTTTATATCTACCATGTACTTGCACAGACGCATATATGAGAGTTATTGGATGTGCCTGTGTGCATGGGAACAGACAGGCTTTATATCTACCATGTATTTGCACAGACGCATATATGAGAGTTGGAGGGTCATTATGGCATGTTGCATGTATGTGATTGTATACGTGTGTGTTTCTACTGCGATATAGTGCCTTGCGCGCAGGTGTATATGATTAATTTGTGGTCTTCAGTATGTGATTTATGTATTTATGTGTGCGTACATGAATTAGACCACAATCTTATACGTACATGCATAGTCACTCATATATATATATATATATATGTGTGTGTGTGTGTGTGTGTGTGTGTGTGTGTTTATACATATATACTGATTTATATCAGTCCTGTAAGTATCACCATTTTCTGTTACCATAACTTGCGTACTTACCTCTACACTGATGCAGGTAGGATATGGCGCATATACCACGGTGTCGCTGGTGATCCGCTGACGTCTATTCTAAATAGTATAATAAGCTTCCAGGATAACCACAGAAACGAGGTAAGGGCTTCTGCACTTGCTTATACACCTAAGACAGCTCAACAGCCATCCGTTGCTCTACAAACACCTACATTACCTACACCTACATTAGATACACCTCCATGACATACACCTACATACACCTAAGACAACCGTACCTCATGGTTTGGCACACATGGTGTTTGCCATTATTCAACCCAAATACTCCTACCTCCTACCTCTGCTTCTGGCCACATTTTATTCGCCTGCATTCATCTCCAATACACTTCTGCTTGTTGTGCTCCTCAGGTGTTGGTGATAGAGCTGGCTGTGTACAGTGGATCACATGGCGGTGATGTGTGTGCGCTCGCACGCTTAGTCAAGGCCAAATTGGGACGATTTCTATTAGATGGGTCACACAATCTGGCGAATACCACCATTGGCAGTATGGTATGTAGTTAGTACTGAAGATATAATTACTCGCATGCGCATGTACTTATGTATCTGTATAAAACCGCGTTTACGTATTTATATTTTATATATATATATATATATATATATATATATTTATATATTATATATATATATTATATATTNTATATATATATATATATATATATATNTATATATATA